CGTGTCCGGCAGCCCCCTCTGGCACTCTGTCAGGTCTCTACCTCCCCTCATTCTCTACGAACTTGGTGAGTGGAGCTGATCTACAGGATCGGGGGGTTGACAAGTTCACGCCTGCGAGTCAGCGGGTGACCCACTGTACATGTGCTCAGACGGGCCGACACTTGGCCAGGTTTATCCGTCAGCCGGGGTCGAGCCTGTACACAGTGACTACTGGGTCTCCTCCGGTTGCTGAGTCTGGTCAGGTAGCTGCGTCGAGTCAGGTGTTTCCTGCAGCGTCCAGGTCTAGTCCTGAGTCTGCGCTCTGCTCGTGTCGTCTCCTGTCCCACCAGACTCTCCTTTGGCACCACAGCCTTGGTCACACCTCCCTGCCTCGTCTCCGAGGCATGGCCTCACGTGTCCTTGTCTCTAGTCTCCCCCGGTCCGTCCCTCCCCTCCCTCCGGAGCCTGCCCCTATCTGCGTCCCCTGCGTTGAGGGGCGGCAGCGCGCCGCCCCTCACTCCTCCGAGTTTCCTCTGACAGAGGCTCCCCTGCAGACTCTTCACATGGACGTGTGGGCCCCCGCCCGCGTCCGTGGCCAGGGTCACGAGCGGTACTTCCTGTTGGTGGTTGACGACTACTCGCGCTACACCACGGTGTTCCCCTTGCGCAGCAAGGGTGACGTCACTGAGGTGTTGATCAACTGGATCCGCGCAGCTCGTCTCCAGCTCAGAGAGAGTTTCAGCTCGGACTTTCCTGTTCTGCGTCTGCACTCTGACAGAGGCGGGGAGTTTTCCTCTGCCCGTCTGGGAGCCTTCTGTCGTGCAGAGGGCATCCTGCCAGACCTTCACGCTTCCGGCCTCTCCACAGAAAAATGGGATTGTTAAGCGCCGCATTGGCATGGTCATGGATGTCGCTCGTACGTCCATGATCCATGCGGCTGCTCCCCATTTTCTGTGGCCGTTTGCGGTTTAGTACGCGGCGCATCAGCTCAACCTTCAGCCCCGGGTCTCCTTGCCAGAGACCTCCCCCACCTTGTGGTGGACAGGGAAGGTTGGCGATGCGTCTGCGTTTCGGGTCTGGGGATAACGGGCGTTTGTCCGCGACCTGTCTGCGGACAAGCTGTCCCCCCGTGCTGTTCCCTGCGTCTTCCTTAGCTTCCCCCCTGACGCGCCTGGTTGGCAGTTTAAACACCCCACCTCGCGCCGTATTCTGTCCTCCCAGGACGTCACCTTTGACGAGTCGGTGCCTTACTACCGTCTTTTCCCCTACCGCACTGCGCCCCTCACCCCGCCGCCGCTCTTCCTTGCGCCAGGTCCTCCCCCGGTAGACCCCCTCCCCCCTCAGGGTCCTGCCTTGTCAGGTGTGTCCCAGGTAGACGCAGTTGAGCCTGTCGAGGTAGCTGTTGACTCTGGTGCTACTAGGGGCGCTGAGCCTGTGGGTGCCGGGTCTGGGGGTGCGGAGCCTGGGGGTGCTGAGTCTAGGGGTGCTGAGCCTGGGGGTGCTGAGTCTGGGGGTGCTGAGCTTGGGGGTGCTGAGTCTGGTGGTGCTGAGCCTGGGGGTGCGGAGCCTAGGGGTGCTGAGCCTGGGGGTGCGGAGCCTGGGGGTGCAAGGTCTGCTCGTGTGGCCTCTGGCGGTGCTTCGTCGAGGCGGGAGCTACTCTCTCCGTAGGAGCTGCGCGAATGGTTTGCCCGGCGCTGGAGACGTGCTGTTGGAGCTGGAGGTACTACTGTTGCTGCTGGTCCTGGAGGTGCTCGTCTTGGTGGTTCTGGAGCTGCTGGAACTAGGAGTCCTGCTGGAGGTACTGCTGGAGCTGCTGGCGGTACTGGAGCTGACGGCCCTGCTGGAGTTGGTGTTACTGGAGCTGCTGGAGCTGGAGCTGCCGGGGGTGTTGGCGCTGGTAGTTCTGTTGGCGCTGGTGCTTCTGAGGGTGCTGGAGTTGGCGCTGTTGGAGTTGGAGGTGCTGTTGGCGATGGTGCTGCCGCTGGGGGTACTGGTGCTGTCCCTGCTGGTTCTAGAAGCACTGCGCGGCCGAGGCCGTACTTCGTTCCGCTCCTTGAGCAGGTTCTTGGTCTCCCGCCCTCTACTGGTCCTGCTCCTCCCTTAGCGTGTCCACAGCCTGTCCAGTCGCGGTCATAGTTACAGCCCGCCTCCCCCCTGCCTGCTCCTTCTCCCTACACTGGACCTACTGGACGTCTTGCTGAGCGTCGTGAGCCTGCGTCTCGTCCTGCGTCGCCTGTTCGTGCTGCTCGCGCTAGTGGTCGTGCTCCGCGTTCGCGTCCTCCTGCGGTCCCCGGCACACACCAGATGGCACTGCGTCCTTCCACTGCTCCTCTGCGTGTCCCATTACCGTCTCCTCCAGAGTCCTCTCTTCCTGCTCTTGCTGAACCGGAGTCTGATTCTCTTCGTGCTGCCAGTCCTACTGTCACGCGTCTCCTGGCTACTGTTGTCACTAACCCTTCTTTTGAGTCCACTGCTGCGTCTGCCTTAGTTGCTGAGCTTGTCGACTTTGCTGCTCGCTGTCGTCTAGACTACGCTGCTAGTCTTGTTGCTGAGTCTGAATCTGTCTGTCCTCCGTCCGTCGGGGGTGAGTGTGCTCTTAGCACGAACGTCCTTGAGGACAGGCATGAGGAGTTCCAGTGTTTTGCTGCTGCTTTGCCTCATCTCGTGTCCACGCTGATTGCCCCTGAGGGAGACCCGGATGCACCAAACATCCCGACTCCTTGATCGTACGCTGAGGCGATCGAGGGTACCTACTCCTCACAGTGGCAGTCAGCCATGGACGCAGAGATGGATTCTTGGAAGTCCACAGGCACCTACGTCGACGAGGTTCCCCCAACTGGGGCGAACATTGTCAGTGGCATGTGGATTTTCAGGGTGAAGCGGCCGCCGGGTTCTCCGCCTGTCTTCAAGGCGCGTTACGTGGCTCGAGGCTTCAGTCAGCGGCAGGGAGTTGACTACTTTCAGACCTTCTCCCCCACTCCGAAGATGACCACTCTTCGGGTGCTGCTTCACATAGCCGCTCAGCGCGACTACGAGCTCCACTCTCTTGACTTCAGCACAGCTTTCTTGCAGGGCAGCCTGCACGAGGAGATCTGGCTGCGCCGCCAACCTTGCTTCACTGGGTCGTTTCCTCCTGGTACCCAGTGGAGCCTCCGGCGGCCAGTCTACGGTCTCCGTCAGGCGCCCCGTTAGTAGCACGACACACTGAGGACTACACTTGCGGCTCTTGGGTTTTCTCCGTCTACTGCCGACCCGTCGCTGTTTCTGCGCACCAACACCTTGCCGCCGTTCTACATCTTCGTGTACGTCGACGACTTGGTCTTTGCCACTGCTGACACTGCTGGACTCGCCCACGTGAAGTCCGAGCTACAGAAGAGACACACATGCACAGACCTGGGTGAACTGCGCAGCTACCTTGGCTTGCAGATCACCCGGGACAGAACACAGCGCACCATTACCCTGACTCAGTCACACATGGTGCAGCAGGTCCTTCAGCGCTTCGACTTCACGTACTCCTCGCCTCAGGCCACTCCTCTGTCTACTCGCCACTCGCTCTCAGCTCTGCCTTCGGATGAGTCCATAGAGTCGAGTGGCCCGTACCCAGAGCTTGTTGGTTGCCTCATGTACCTGATGACCTGCACACGACCTGACCTAGCATACCCTCTTAGCATCTTGGCACGCTATGTTGCTCCTGGGAGACACCGACCAGAGCACATGGCTGCAGCGAAGAGGGTATTGCGCTACTTGTGCAGTACGTCGGGCATGGGGCTAGTGCTTGGAGGGCGACGTCCAGTGGTTCTCACATGTCACGCAGACGCTTCTTGGGCTGACGACCAGGCTACGCAGCGGTCGTCACAGGGTTACACCTTCAGCCTTGGCTCCGGCTCTGTTTCGTGGCGGTCTACCCGCTCGTCTTCTGTTCTCGGCTCCAACTGTGAGGCTGAGATCTACGCGGGGGCCATGGCTGCATAGGAGCTAAGCTGGCTCACCTACCTGCTGACTGACCTAGGAGAGCCGCCTTGTTCTCCTCCAGTTCTGTACGTAGACAACAAGGCCATGCTGGCCTTGTGTCGGGAGCACAGACTAGAGCACAGAACGAAGCACATTGCTCTTCGCTACTTCCTTGCTCGTGAGCTGCAGCAGCGTGGTCAGCTACGCCTTGCTTACGTGGCCTCTGAGGCCAACACTGCTGATATCTTTACCAAGGCACTTCCGCCTTAGAAGGATCGTATCCCCACTGAAGATAGTTGGGTGCCTCTGGGCGACATAAAAAACAACTATATCCTCCAAATGTACTCGCGAAGCCGGGAATTTCGCGATATACACGCACTCGCATAGAGGAGCGGCTTTTCGTGGATGTGGGTAGTGTAAGGATTAGTTCGACATTCTGACTGACCAGCTCATCGCGCATACAAGATTTTTGGTTCTTCGTCTGGTGGCCTAACGGTGTTTCACCGTTTGCATACGTGATAATCTCCAAACCACACACTGCTGGACTGGCCCACGCCTACGCTTCGGGGCTAACCCTTATCTCGTTGCCAGCATCGCACTTGCTAGCTCTCATGCACTGTGTTACCGTCATGATATAAATCTTTGTCCATGCCTTCACTTACAATTGTAATCGTTTGTCAACTTAGTGCTTTCCTAGCTACCTTGATACATTGCATCCGTAACACTATCAGAGTAATTTCCGCTTACGTTGGGCTAATTCAATTCAATTCCTCCAATTGGCAAAGAAACTGATCCCTGCACGGGACAGTACGCGGATAAAAACATTTTGTCAATAAGGGGACTACATAGGAAGGGCTACACCTCGAACTTACAGGATAATAACTATTTGAAGTGGAATATGAGTCTTTGTGAAAACTCTAACCGGAACCTTTGCACTGCGCATGTGCTTTTTTTTTTTTTTTTTTTTGATATCAAAATACATTACAAGAATATATAGACATCGGCAGTCGTAACTGTAGGGTTGAGGGGAGCGCTACAAAAGTTAGTAATGCAGATCCCCTCTAAGGCAGCTACGATGGCTGATGTGTCAGCCTGGGGTTGTCCCACACAGAGCTGAAGCCGATCCTCCACGCCAGCGGTGGGTCACTGCTGCAAATACGCCGCATCACCACTGCCTCGTTGTCTGCCAGGTACGCCCAGTCACTGTCCAAGGCATGTCCCTTCAACCGCGCTGATTCTCTGCGCGCCGCGCAGTATATCCTCGCATGTGCGACAAACTTTACCACCGCCTGCCGAGTCACCTTCCCAGGTTGGAAGCCTTCATTCCTCCACACCGCGTTGCATCTTGCCAACCATACTTGATGCAGGAATGTTGCAATCCATGTCCCTTCTGGAAAGCCCGACCTTGTGCTTCTTTGCATGAAGAGCAGATCCTCCAGATCCTGCCACGCTAGGCCCGGGCGCATTATTTCCAGTCCATGCCTCATCACATCCGCCACCCCCTGCACCGCCAGGCAGTCAAGGAGGCAGTGATCTGGGGTTTCCTCTCCCTGGCAGTGTGGGCAGACCACCCCCATGAAAAACAGCCTCGAGCCCACTTGCAGGTTCCTACAGTGGAGCCGTATGAGGATTTCACGTGCCCGTCGTCGGGTGACCAGGGAGTCCCTCTGTTCGATGACTCTGTCCCACTTGATCACCCTCCTCTGTCCTTTCCATCTCCTTTGTTCTTCTTGTGGTCCGGCCGAGTCTGCCAGCACCTTCCTTATCCCTTTCAGCGTGATTAGCTCCCCTCCTTCGCATGCCGCTGAGAGCAAAAGTTTCGTCCGCACGTCCCCCATGGGGCCCAGGAACGCACTCCCTTCCGTGAACATCGGCACCCCGCTACGCAGGTTGAAATACATCTTGAGGTTTCCCTCGTAGGGTGAGAAGTGCCCTCCGTCCCCTATATCGCATAGTATCCCCTCCACCGTGTCGCCTCTTGCTTCGCCCACTTTCCAGTAGGTAAAACCACCAGTTGCGCCATTGCTCGACCGTAGAAGCTTCACCGTAGCCACGATCTCCTCGCTTGTCAATTTCGTGTGTACCATCTCCTTCCAGGTTGCTGGTGCTGCGTTGAAAGCCCTCAACGCCCACTTCGCCTTCTCCCTGCAGCCGAGCTCCCTTGCCAGTGCTGCCAGCTTCTTGAGCTCACATGTTCCGTCTCGCGCTTTAACAATCAGGTCTCCCATGCGGATGCCGAGTAACGCCTCTGCACCTTTCTGGTTCCCGAAGGGGCTCGCGCCTCTGAAGGGGATATTCGGGTTGAACGCCAGATGAACCTGTTCCACCTCCCAGCGGTTTGTTGGAGCCCGTGGTTTGCATAGCGGAGAGACCCAGAATTTTTCAATTAACTCCTTCCACCGCTCGCTCCCTTTCTCCCAGTGATCCAGCAGCGACCTGTGTGCGAAGATTGTGTCCAGCTCCAGGGGCATCTCCGCCGCTTTCTCCACCAGCCACTTCCTGACCGAGTTTGGTTTCAGCACCAGCTTGCAGACATAGCGGATGGCGATGCTGTCGACCCGTTTTTCGGGAGATATCAACCCCAATCCCCCGTCTTTCCGCGGCGTACAGACCAGCCGATAATTCCAGAGGATGAATTGCTTCTCTTCCACGGCTTCTCCTTTCGAGATGAAGGTGTGGCACAACTTGTGGATCTTCTTCCATATGGCCTCTGGTGGCAGGTAAACTTGTGCCTGGAAGAGAAAGATCGGCACAATGTAGCTGTTGACTATCGTGACCCTTGCTGACGTTGTCGGATGCTGCATTTCCCACTTCGCTAACTCCCCTTTTGCCCTGTCCAACGCTTTGTTCCAGGATGGAGTCGGGTCACTGTTCCGCGTAATCCAGATCCCCAGAAGACGCTCCGGTTCTTCCTTGTCCGCCCATTTGTAATTCAGGTTTTGCGGCGCTGTCTTTCCCCGGTTCTTCCCCTGCGGGAAGATGACCGTTTTCCCCTTGTTTACCTTCAGCCCCGACTCTTCTCCGAAGGCTGACAGCACCCCTGCTGTTGCCTCCAGCTGCTCCACACTGTGTAGCAAGAGAGAGGTATCGTCAGCATACCCTAGGTACGCCAGTTTCCCCACGCCTTTCTTCCCGATCCCCAGCTTTGCTCTGCTGATCTCCTGACATAACGGTTCTACCGCGCAGAGAAAAAGGTACGGCGCCAGCGGAAAGCCTTGGCGCACGCCCTTTTCCACTGCCACCTTGTCCCCTGTCCATCCGTTGATGTGCAGACATGTCCCCGCTTCTTTGTGTAAACCTATCGTCCATCCCACGAAATCCTCCGGCAAACACAGGTTCCGTAGCGTTCCGAATAGGTAATCACGCGATATTGAGTCGAAGGCCTTCTGAAAATCGATCATCATCAGATACCAGTCCTCCTTCCCGTTAGCACCTGCTTCAATGGCGTCTGCTACCACCGACACCGCGTCCGCCAGCTGCCGACCAGGTATGAAGCCATATTGGTCCTCCGAGATGACCTCGTGTAGTACTGCCTTGAGTCTGCTCGCCATCACCTTTGCGATAATCTTGTACACTGTTCTTAGAAGCGTTATCGGCCGATAATTCCCTAACTCGTTTTTTTCGCCCTTCTTATGCAACAGGATGGTCACCGCTGTGGAGACACTGTGCGGCAGCTCTTCTCCTTCCGTGAACCTCCTCACCAGATCCATCAGTATCGGCCCCAGCAAGTCCCAGTTATGGTCGAAAAGCTCCTTAGGCAAGCCGTCTGCTCCTGGCGATTTTCTCGGAGCGAGTTCCTTCACCGCCTTCCGTACCTCGGCCTCCGACCATGGTGCACTTAGCGCCAGTCTGCTCTTGTCTCCCAGTGTCCGTTGCACGGGGTGGGCCGTCCTGCCAGGCACCACTCCTCCGCTTGTGCAACTGAAGGCTTCGCGGAAATGATCCGTAGCCGCCGTGAGAACCTCCTTCACCCCCGTAGAGATGATCCCGTTCCTTGATACCTCTCGGATTTCCGTCTTCGCCTTTCGAGTTTTGATTTGCGCCGACAGTGCACCTGACGCCACCTCCCCGTCCATTTCAGCCTCTATGCCTGCCCATGTTTGCAGTTGCTCCTTGCGGTTTTTCTCGTATGCATCCAACAGTTCCTCTTTCCGGAGTAGGATACGTCCCGTCCTTTGGCAGTGTGGAAAGCGCGATACCCGCTCCCTGAGCCGTACAACCTCCTTAGTGAGATGAAGCCTCGTCGCCTTCTCCCGCTTCCTCTCCTCCCTTGAGTACGCTTTCAGGCACGCGGTCAGCCTTTCCAGCAGTTTCTCGACTGATCCGCCCGCCGACTCCTCAATTATCTTTTTTATTATCTTCCTGACTCCACTTTTTTTTGTCTGCCCCGCCCGTAACCTCCAGATGCCTCGCCCGTTCTTCACGGCTTCAGCGGATTCCAGCACCACGCCTATTCCGTTCCAGTGATCTGTCATACCGTTTGTAATCGCCACATGTCTCGCCTCTGCCAACTTGCACAACAGCGGCTGCGAAATCAGCGCCCTGTCTATCCTTGAGCTGGATCGTGTTGCCTTTGCGAAGAAAGTATATTCCCCTTTGTCCGGGTGCATGTGTCTGAAAGCGTCCCTCAGGTCCGTATTTCCCCAGTAGCTCAGGAGCCGTTGATTTTCCGCAGAGGAGCCGGCATGTGAGGTGCGATCCAAGTCCGGGTCTTCAACCACATTAAGGTCCCCCATCACCAGTATGTTCTGGAGTGCCGGCAGGGACCCCAAGAAAGGCACCAGGTTGTCCCTGTAGAAACTGGACCTGTTAACTGCTTGCGCTGGGATGTATGCTGCTATCAGCAGGAGCTCCAACTTGCCCCATTGGACTACTACCGCCATGAGCCTGCTAGATACATGCGCGTGGGTGCTTGTGAAGATCATTCCAGGTACAAAACTGACGATAGCAACACCCCCCGCCGACTCGTCAGGGTTCTGTCCACATACTGCAACCGCACTTGGAGTTATGTCCGTCCAGAGGTTGTGATCTGCTTGTAATCTGGTGTCTGTGATTATCGCCATGTCTGACTTCTCCTTCATCCACTCACTGCATTTCTTTTGTTTCTCTACACTTCCGAGTCCGTTGATGTTGAACTCGCAGAAAATGACCTTGTGGGCCTTATCCATTAATCAACAACTGGAAAGCCCCTTCGCATCCACGGGCTGTAAGGAACAGAACTGCTACCATGACAGGTGAGCCGCTGATACCGACCACCTCTCGTATTACACCGCTGGAGACTACGTTAAGACATCCTCCTGAGACACTCTTCAGGCATTGCTTCGCCGTATCACATGTTACTTCGCTGGTTTCGCAGTGTACTCCTTCTTGAAAGCCAGCATTTTCTGGGAGAACTTGCTGGCGCGCGTGGCTGAACTTTCCTTCCGCAGACCCCCCTTGTGCTTTGCAGATACAATATGCGCCGATGCCTATTCGAAGTGAACTCCCTGCGCCTTCTCGCATACCGCCTGGACACAGACCCATTCCTCCCGCGCGCTTCCAGTGGAAGTGAGAATGATAGCAGGGTCTCGTATGATGCGCTTCAGGAGATCTGAAGCTATCAGGGACGCAGCTGCGGGGGGAGAGGAGCAGACAAACGTCAGAAAGAGGTACGGGGTAAAAAGCGTTCAGGAAAGTGTCAAAATTAGAAGAAAGAAGAGGGTTGCACTAGCAAGAATGAGGATACAAATAGCAAACCCTAGAAGGGTTGTACTTGCTATAGAGCACCCCACTACAGGCTAGAGCATTTGATAACATTCTGACACACCCCCATAGCCAAAGTGGGGTGTAATCAGCAGAGAAAGCAAAGCAGTACAAGCTCAGGGTGGATCACAATGTCACCACACATTCTGAGCACAAGTTCAAGAAGCAGTAGTTTAAAATTATTAGCAAAGCTAGTGGTAGTCGTAGCGGGCAAGTGAGGAAGAGGAGGGACTGTGAGAGGAGAGAAGATGGGAGACGACGGCTGAAGCTGCAGACACACGGGCTACAGGAGCGGCTGGCACAGCGGCTACCGGGACAGCGCCCCGGACTACTGGAGTAACTGGCTCACGGGCTACGAAGAGCTACACGAGCAACGGACCCACGGGCGACAGGCGCAGCAGGCTCTCTGGGCTACTAGGACAGCGCCCCGGACTACAGGTACTGCGGACGACAAGACTGCTGCCTCCACTCAACCTCCCCCAGCTGCCCAACGCCCCTCTCACACACCCACTGCTACACCCCCTAGCTCAACTCCCACGCACCCCCCTTAAACCCTAAACCCCGGTCTCCCAGACATCCACCCCCCTCAGCGACAGCTGCAGCAGTGGGAGACAAAGGAGGAGGAGGAGCAAAGGGAGGAATGCAGAAGTGTCACCCCCATACTCGCCACTCCCCAAACCCTAACACAGGCAGGGCGGGATGGCGGGTAGGGAGGGTACGGGGGAGGGGGGGGGGGGGGGGGAGGGGGGGGGGGGGGAGAGGGGGGAACCGACGCGCGGCCTCCCAGTGCGCCAAGACAGGTAGCAGAAGGGGCGGCGCTCGCCCCCCTCCCCCAGGTAAGTGGCCCCCGAGGGAGCCGCGACGGGCGACGGGAAAAGGGGCCGCAGGCGGGGCCGAGGCCGGGGCCGTGACGGGCGACGCACGGGCGGCGTGGGGCCGGGACAGCGGCATGGGGCCGGGACAGGCACCGCACGGGCGGCGACGGGCCTGGACAGCGGCGCGGGGCCGGGACGGGCGGCGCATGGGCGGCGACGGGCCGGGGCAGCTGCGCGGGGCCGGGACGGGCGGCGCACGGGCGGCGTGGAGCCGGGACAGCTGCGCGGGGCCGGGACGGGCGGCGCACGGGCATCGACGGGCCGGGGCAGCGGCGCGCGGGTCGGCGCGCGGGTCCCCGTCGCCCGTCGCAGCGCCTCCCGAGGGCGACGCGCCGAGCGACGAGGCAGAAGCCCGCCGCGCGCCTCGGGGCGCACAGCGGGCAGAGAACCGCCGCGCGCCTCAGGGCGCATGGCGGGCAGAAAACCGCCGCGCGCCTCGGGGCGCACGGCGGGAAGAAAAAACTGCCGCACGCCACGGGGCGTGCGGCACAGAGAGTAGCAGTAGCAGTTGCAGCGGAAGCAACGAGGTGGTGGGCCCACCCACAGGGTCGATCCAAGAGGATCGACCTGCTCTGATAGCATGTCAAAATTAGAAGAAAGAAGAGGGTTGCACTAGCAAGAATGAGGATACAAATAGCAAACCCTAGAAGGGTTGTACTCGCTATCGAGCACCCCACTACAGGCTAGAGCATTTGATAACATTCTGACAGAAAGCGGGCATCGGAGGCAGGTAGAACGTCACTTGGCTTGTACCGTTCATCTCGTGAACCTTTTTAACAGTCAGGTTCCAGTTGTTGAAGTTATCCTGTCTCGGGGCGACGTAGCGGTCGTGATAACGCGTCAAGTGCTGGCCTTCACAGAAATCACAGGTCAGTGATGGGTAATGCAGCAGGTAACGCTTTCGTGTGGTGGGGTCTTCCACAAAGGTACGCCAGCGGTACTCGTCGTCAGCGTGAGGGACAAACAGCCCGCGAATGCGATCCGTGTCCAAGCCTGATACCGGATCAACCGTCCGATGGAAGCCGAAACCACTGGCAAACACGCTCCTGCCGCGTTTAACCAGCTTTGACATCACCAGCAAACGGCGAATCAGCTCCGCCGATATCTCCGCCGGTACGCCTTTGATTATAACCTCCTTCGCCGTGGGGTTCAGCACGCGTTCACGCAGGAAACGCGCATCCTCCGGGTGCTGCCAGGTGAGATCAATGAAGTCAACGTTGATGCATTCGTGGCAAATAACCTGGCTCCAGACGAAGTTAGCGTCGCGAACGTGATTGAAGGTAACCTGCAGGCGTCCATAGCGCTCTCTGGAAAGAAACATTGGCATGAGGCCCTGGTACGTGGTGGTCAACAGCACATCCGTGGTTAACAGCTCCTTCCATTCATCCAGCATGGCGGCAACTGTTACTGCAGCCATGCTTAACCTCCACCTTCCTGGCAATCGGCACCAACAAGGTTAGGGAAAAGCGTTTCAGAGCAATAATGCTGGTAAGAGATTCTGGTTCCAGGTGATCATCCGAGTCCTCGCTCAGATAGCCGTCGTCGACGTCGTCAGCAGAGGTCTCTGCCGGCTGCGCACCGTCGTCGTCTTCAGCAGTGTCTTTGACGCCAGTCTCTTTGCGCGCAGCACCATCAGCAGGTTCCTCTTCCTCGTCAGTGTTCACACGACTTGCGTCTGTCAGAACATTATAGCTTACTTACTTGTGTAGGCTATAGTGGGGTATCCCATAGGAGGTACAACCCAATTAGGGTTTCCTATTTGTACTCACTTCGTTCATAGTTCATTCATTTTCCTTGTTCACTTCTTCTCATGGTATCGAGCAGGTTCCCCTGTGGGAACTGTGCTTAGGGCCCACCACCACTACCTCGAACTTTTTTTTTCTGCCCGGAGCGCGCTCCGGGCCCTCTCTTCCTTTTCTTGACCGGCCCTTCGCCGCCAGCGCGCCGCCCTAGCCGCTAGCGCGCCGCCCGCCCTAGAGCCTGAGCGCCGCCATTAGCAGCCCACCAGCCGCCCTTAGCAGCCCGCACGCCGCCCTAGTGCCCGCGCTCCGCTCGCCGCCCTAGCGCCCTAGCGCCCTGACGCCCGCGCGCCGCTCTACGCAGCCCGCGCGCAGCTCACGTTAGCCGCCCGTGCGCCGCCCAGAGCCGCCCGTCAGCCGCTCAGAGCCGCCCGTGCGCCGCCCAGAGCTGCCCGTCAGCCGCCCTCAACCGCTCGACTCGCCGCCCGTGCGCCGCCCTCTGCCGCTCGTGAGCCGCCCGTGCGCCGCCAGCGAGCCGCCCGACGCGCCGCCCGTGCGCCGCCCTCGGCTGCCCGTGAGCTGCACGTGCGCTGCACGTGCGCCGCCCGTCAGCCGCCCGTCAGCCGCCCGTGGCTGCTCGACGCGCCGCCCTCTGCCGCCCGTGAGCCGCCCGTGCGTTGCCCTCAGCCGCTCGACGCGCCGCCCGTGCGCCGCCTGTGAGCCGCCCGAACGCCGCCCTCAGCCGCCCGTGAGCTGCCCGACGCGCCGCCCGTGCACCGCCCTCAGCCGCCTGTGAGCCGCCCGTGCGCCGCCCTCAGCCGCCCGACGTGCCGCCCGTGAGCCGCCCGCGAGCCGCCCGTGAGCCGCCCGTCTCGACGCCCGCGCCACCCGCGTCACCCGAGCCGCACGAGCCGCCCGAGCAGCAGAGCCGCCCGAGTCGCCTCTGCCGCTGAGCGCCCGCGCCGCCCGAGCCGCCCGAGCCGCCCGAGCCGCCCGAGCCGCCTGAGGTGCCGAGCTCCTGGTCCTGTGGGGCTGCTGCTGCTCCTGGGCCGGCGGAGTTGCTGTGCTGCCGTGTTGCTATGCTGCTGAGCTGCTCGACCCTTCCTGTCTGGTGAGACTGTCGGCTGCTATCATGGCCACCCCTAGTGTCCTGGCTTTTGACACTGAGGGTCGCGCCATTGACTTTGCGGTCTGGGTCGACGACCTGCAGCTGTACTTGCAGTGCGATTCGGTAGATGACATTTCTCTCTTTGACTTTGCCTCTGGCGCTGTCCCTGCCCCTCCTACTGATGCTGACCCCACTGTTCGCTCCAAGTGGGCCACACGCGATGCTGCTGCACGTCTTGCTGTGCGTCGCCACCTCCCCTCCTCCGAGCGTGCACACTTTAGTCAGTGCAAGAGTGCTCAGGCCTTGTACGACGCTGTAGTTGCGCGCTACTCCTCCCCTTCCTCTGCTACACTTAGCCGCCTCATGCTACCGTACCTCTTCCCTGACCTTGCTGCCTTTCCCACAGTCGCTGACCTCTTTACCCACCTCCGCGCTAGTGACACTCGCTACCGAGCTGCGCTTCCTGCTGACTTCTGCGCCGCAAACCCCCCTCCCATGTACATCACCCTCTACTTTCTAGTCAACCGTCTCCCTGACTCCCTTAGTGTTTAGTTTGGGACCAGTTTCTTTCTGTCTGTCCCACCACCCTCACTGTCGACCTCCTCGAGAAGTCCCTCCTAGCGGCCGAGAAGAGCATAGTCGCTGTAGGGGCCTCTCGTGGTGACCCTCGCACCCCCATCTTTGAGGGGTGTTCTCCTTCCCCCCTGTTACCCTCTGTCGCCTCTGCTGCTGCGGCCGACCTCGTTGGTCTAGAGTCGGTCGGTGCGGCGTCTGCCCCCAGCGGTAGGCGCCGCTCTGGCAAGGGCAAGGGGGGGAAGGGAGCGGGTGGAGCTAGCGGGGGCGGTGGCAGAGGAGGTGGGGGCGGCGGGGGGAGTGGGGGTGGCGGTAGAGGTGGTGGCGGGGGTGGAGGTACTGGTGGCGGCAGTGGAGGCGGAGGTGGCGGCGGAGGTGGCGGCGGAGGTGGCGGTGGGAGCGGCGGGGGCGAGGGTGGTGGTGGCGGCGGTGGCGGCGGAGGCGGGGGTGGCGGTGGTAGAGGTGGTCGGAGTGGCTCGTCCCAGCGGAGCAGCACTGGGGGTGGTCAGCGCCAGCAGCAGCAGCGCTCTCGCGACGTCCCCGCCCCTCAGCAGCTCCGTTAGTGGTACTCGCAGCGTCAGCGTGGTGGAGCGTTTGGTTTCTGCACCTACGTCCTTCGCACCGGCGACCGAGCGGGTGAGCAGTGTGGGGGCACCCACACCGCCCGGCGCTGCTTTGGCCGCCTGACCGACGCTTGGCGCCAGCAGTTTCCGGAGGCCTCTGAGATCCCCCGCTGGGGAGAGCTGTCTAGGGCTGGTGTAGCTATCTTTGATCTTGACTTTGATGCTATCCTTGCTGCCATGTATGCTGTGACTGTTAGTGATGAGGGTGACTGTTACCAGTGTTTCCCGCCCGACCAAGGCATTCGTACTGCTGCGCTAGGTGCCAGTGAGGCTGGTGCTCTAGGTGCCAGTGCGTCTGTGCCCTCACGTACTGGTGAGTCTGCACTCTCAGGTACTGTGTCGGCTTCGGCCTCTCACACCTTCACCCTTGACTCTGGGGCGTCTCGCTCCTTCTTTCGGGACCGCACCACTCTCACGCCGCTTAGTCGGCCGGTTGCGGTGTCCCTGGCTGACCCCTCTGGGGGTCCTGTCCTGTCTCGTTTCTCCACAGTCCTCCCGTGTCCGGCGGCTCCCTCTGGCACCCTGTCTGGTCTCTACCTCCCCTCGTTCTCTACGAACCTGGTGAGTGGTGCTGACCTACAGGATGCGGGTGTCCACCAGTTCACTCCTGCTCGTCAGCGGGTGACACACTGCACAGAGGCTCGCACAGGTCGCCACCTGGCTACGTTTACACGTCAGCCGGGGTCGAGCCTGTACACACTGACCACTGCTTCTCCGTCAGGTGCTGAGTCTGGTAGGGTCCCTTTGTCTGGCCAGGTTTTTGCTGCGGCGTCCAGGTCTGGTCCTGAGTCTGCCCCCTGTTCGTGTCGCCGTCTATCTCACGAGACCCTCCTCTGGCACCACCGCCTTGGCCACCCCTCTCTGCTTCGACTCAGAGGCATGGCCTCCCGTCTTCTTGTGTCTGGTCTCCCCCGGTCCCTCCCTCCCCTTCCTCAGGGCCCTGGCCCTGCCTGTGTCCCCTGTGTCGAGGGGCGCTAGCGTGCTGCCCCTCACTCCTCCCACTTTCCTCCGACAGAGGCCCCGTTGCAGACGCTTCACATGGACGTGTGGGGCCCTTGCCCGCGTCCGTGGACAGGGTCAGGAGCGCTACTTCCTGCTCGTTGTTGACGACTACTCGCGTTACACCACAGTCTTCCCCTTGCGCAGCAAGGGTGATGTCACTGAGGTGCTGATCGACTGGATCCGCGCAGCTCGTCTCCAGCTCAGGCAGAGCTTTGGCTCGGACTTTCCTGTTTTGCGTCTGCACTCGGACAGAGGCGGAGAGTTCTCCTCCGGCCTTCTGCTTGCCTACTGTCGTGCGCGAGGCATCCGTCAGACCTTCACGCTTCCGGACTCACCGCAGCAAAATGGGATTGCAGAGCGCCGCATTGGCATGGTCATGGACGTCGCTTGTATGTCCATGATGCATGCGGCAGCCCCCCATTTTCTGTGGCCGTTTGCGGTCAGGTACGCGGCGCATCAGATCAACCTCCACCCCAGGGTCTCCAGGCCGGAGACCTCCCCAGCACTACTGTGGACGGGGAAGGTTGGCGATGCGTCGGCGTTCCGGGTCTGGGGATCTCGGGCGTTTGTCCGCAACATGGCTGCGGACAAGCTGTCCCCTCGTGCTTCCCCCTGCGTCTTCCTGGGGTTCCCACCCGACGCCCCTGGGTGGCAGTTCTACCACCCCACCTCTCGCCATGTTCTGTCCTCCCAGGACGTCACGTTCGACGAGTCGGTGCCCTACTACCGCCTCTTCCCCTACCGCACTCCGTCCCTCCCCCCGCCCCCGCTCTTTCTTGTCCCAGGTCCCCCCCCGGTAGACCCCCTTCCCCCTCAGGGTCCTGCCCCTTCAGGTGTGTCGCAGGTAGACGCGGTCGAGCCTGTTGAGGTCACTGGTGACTGTGGTGCTGCGGGTGGTGCTGAGCCTGGGGGTGCTACGTCTGGGGGTGCTGAGCCTGGGGGTGCTGAGCCTGGGGGTGCTGAGCCTGGGGGTGCTGAGCCTGGGGGTGCTGAGCCTGGGGGTGCTGAGCCTGGGGATGCTGAGCGTGGGGGTGCTACGCCTTGAGGTGCCTTGCCTGGGGGTGCTGGGTCTAGGGGTGCTGAGCCTGGAGGCTCTCTCGGTTCTTCGTCTCGCCGGGAGCCACTCTCTCCACAGGAGCTGCGCGAGTGGTTTGCTCGGCGCTGGAGCCGTCCTGCTGGTCCTGGAGGTTCGTCGGCTCCTGAGGGTGCTGCTCTCGCGGGTCCCGGAGGTGCTCGTCCTGGGAGTACTGGAGCTGCTAGACCTGCGGTTTCGACTGGAGCTGGTGTTGCTGAGGGTGTTGGCGCTGAGACTACCACTGGCAATCCGACTGGCGGTGCTTCTGGTGCTGCTGGAGGTTCTGGGGCTACTGGA